CTGGCCTCAGGGGACGGATACCTTCCTTTCTGCTTTTCTAGTCGCCCACCGTAGAGGAGGACCAGGGTACTGAGGACCTCTAGGGGAAGGGGAGCCCCTCTCCAGCTCAGAGGGGCAAGCAGGGAATGGGGTCTGTGTGCCAGCGGCATTCCCACTGCCCAGCAGCTGGGAGCAGCCCCCCAGCTGTAGGGTGGCTCAGCCCAGCCAGGACCATGGTGGGAGATGCTGGAGAGATCTCAGGAGAGACCCCAGGCAGGAGGGAGAAGGGCAGCCTGATGCTGGGCTGCCGGAGCAGAGGGCAGCGAGGCAACAGCACAAAAGCCTCTAACACAGCAGCTTCACTCTCCCCATGGCCATCCTCACCCCATGCAGGACCTGAACCCACTCCCTGCCCAGCTGGGCTCAGCCCTGCCAGGCATGCACTGCTGCCAGGGTCCTGGCAGAGAACCTTTATTAAAAGCAAACGGCCCCATGGTCAGCAAAGCCAGCAGCCCCCAGCCAGCGTACAGCCCACCCCAGGGCTCACCCTCCCCACCCCATGCTTCCCCTTCCACGGGGCACCCTTCCTGGGAACTGTTTTGACAGTAGAACATTAACTCAAAATAAATAAATTTGTATAAAAGTCAGCGCTGGCAGAAGGTGTGTTGCAGAGAGACCCGGGTTACGAATCCTTCCTGGGGACCACTACACCCCCAGCACCCCAAGTTGATCCCACATTGCTCCATCTCAGCCCCACAGCCAGGGCAGGGGCTGGGCTGTGCAGGGATGCTCCAGTCCTGGAGCTGGCAGCATCCAGCAGGAGGAGGGTGGAGAAGACAAGGAGGGAGTGGACTGTGAAACACAGGGGGTGGGAGGAAGAAGAATAGAAAGAAGAAAACCCAACCCCATTTCAAAGCATTTTGCCTGGGGACAGAAGAAGGGAGGGTCCACAGGACTCTGGTTCAGCCTGAATTTTGGTGCAAAGCCTCAGACAAAAGCAAAACCCTTTAAACGAAGCTGGGCCAAGACTTTCCACCCAAGCCTGTTTGGAGGTCATGTTTATTAAAGTATAAGCAAAAAAAATAACCACATTTGGCAGCCCTGCTGGGCCCCGCAGCGAGCACGGCTCCCGAGCAGCAGTGCCAGCTCCTCGGCTGAGTCCCGGTGCTGCTGCCACAGCCTACGGCCTCAGCTTGGCCATGGTGGAGCGGAGCTGGAGCGTCCCCTCTGCCCACGAGCCCGGGTACTGGCGCATCTTCTGCCACAGGCTCAGCTCTTCGCCTGTGGAGTCCATCCAGTCCACAGCCTGCCCGTTGCTCATGCCTGGGAGAAAGGATGGAGGTGGGCAGAGTCACTGCCGGAGCAGCCTCCCACCCGCAGCAAGGCAGCTCCAAGCAAGGCTGCTCATCCCCAGGCTTTGATGGGACCCCAGGGCTACTCACCGTTGCCCACCCCCAGACGGACACCCCCAAGGAAGTCGTTGCTGGCCAGCGGCTCCCGGTCCCAGACTGTCAGCTCCAGGCAGATATGCTGCAGGTCCTCGGGGTTGATGCCGTTGTAGACAAAGGTGTGGTTGTAATGAGGGTTCAGGGTCTTCTTCACCACGGGCGTCTTCCTCTTGGAGGCTTTGTTTTTGTGTGGCAGGAGGTAGCTGGGGGAAGCAGCCCCCTGGGTTAACCGCACAGGTGCAGCTGCCTTCTGCCCCAGGGGCTAGGGCACCTCAGCACCCCAAGGACCTGGCCTGGAGCCCACCCTCCCTGATATGGCTTAGGAACAAGGACCATGACAGCCTGCATGGGGCTGGGTCTCTGCCCTGCCTCCTCAAAAGCCACTCAGCAGATGCAAGTGGTCTAAGGAGGGGAGAGGAGCAAGGACCAGAGTCCGCTCACCCCCAGCCATGCTATCCGGTGGCTTAGTGACCTCTGGGAAGATGATCTGATGGCAGCTGGAGCCCTGCTCTGCCCTCAACCTCCCACCGCGACCCCTCAACCAGCCAAAACCCAGGAGAGCGTTTGCTACCAGGAGCATCTTGTCTCTGGACAGACAGTGACTTTCAGGGAACCAACACAGGCAGCGTGGGACAGCAGAGACCCTTCTCTCCCCCAGGTCCCTGCAGCAGCTCTGGGAAGTGCCCTGGGATGCAGCCAGGGAGAACAATGCCTTCACTACCACCCCCCCTCACCGGAACCCACACTCACCCCTTGACAAAGCTGTCTGATGTCCCCCCAGATTTGGCAGCTGTGAGGTTCTTGGCTTCTTTGATCCAGACCTGGAGCTCACCTCCTTCCCCTGTTTTGCCTGAGAAAAAAACAAACACAGCAAGATGTAATCAACCTTAGTTTCCACCACTGCTAACATTTGGAAAGGCCCTGCTGAGCAGCCTTCACTGAAGAGGCAGGTTCGGGTCCCCAGCTGGTATCTCGTCCTGCCTCCTCCCTTACTGGCCTGGTCTGCTGAGATGAAGGCAGACAATTGCTCCATGCAGGGCCTGATGGTCCAGTCCCAGGAAAGCACTGGGACCACACAGCCAGCCTAAGGACACCCAGGTCTGCACTGACCCAGGGCAGCCTTGCAGGTGTTGCAGAGGAGAAGGATGCAGTGGCACCACTCAAGAAACCCATCCAGAGCCAGCTCGCCTGGCCATGAGCGCATCCTGCAGGCTACGTGGAGATCCTGGAGCTCCAGCACTCACCTTTCCTGCTGTTTGTGGCCCCAGGGTGCTTGGAAGATGGGATGTACTTCATGGAGACAACCAGCTCCCCCCTGTACTGGGGGAGACCAGCAGCATCCGCCCCAATCTGCAAAGAGGTCAGAGTTACCAAACTGCTAGAGAGGCCAAAGCAGACACGGTGATGGCCACGGAGCACCTTCCCATGCTGGGCTGAAGAGCTGGGCTTCTCCTAGGATTGGTTAACCCAGCACAAATGCTTGCAGAGCCTCCCCAGGTCAGACTCAGACCAGCTCCTTTGGGATCCTACTTTGGCTCAATCACCTCCCATGAAATCCTATTTAGGGGTTTCCACAAGCTGTGCGAGCCCCAGCAATGCCAAGGGCTGAGCTCGCGGTGCAAGTTAGCCTAGAGAGCCAGACTTGAGTCCAGTAGCAGCATCTGCTGCTGTCATCGAGCTGTACGAAGGCCCTCACTGCCTGGCTCTGCATCCCGCAGCAGGATGTCCCGGCCAATTTCCCCCATTTGTTTTCCTGAAGTTGGCTCCAATTCCTCCCAGCTGGGGCAAGGAGCTGGGAAGAGGTGCGCTCTTGGAGCAATCAAGCAAGCAGAATGGAAATACCTGATGGAGCAGAGACATCCTGCAGAATCCCGTAGGGGATATACTGAGGAGGAGGAGGAGGGAAGCTAGGCTTAAGGCAGAATAGCTGCCCTTTTTTTAGTACTGCTGCTATCTGCTCTGGGGTCTCCGTTTCTCCAAGATTTGATTTAGCACAAGCCTTTTGGCAGCCCTCAGCCAAGATCTCTGCACTCCTCTGCCCACAGAGGGCCACCTCCCTGGCCAGGGCCAGGCAAGGGAGGCTGCTGTGGGCAGCAGTGCCAGGGTGGCAGGGCCAGCACCTTGCCGTGCAGGGGCAGAAACTCCTCCAGCTGGCTCTCAAAGTTCCAGGCGTCCAGCGGGACCTCCACCTCCCCCAGGAACGTGTTGCGGCCAAAGCGATCGTGGTGCCAGACCGAGAACTGCAGCGTCCTGGCAAGCAGGAGGGACTTGTTCATCTCGTACTAGGAAGAGAGACAGGAAAACCACCAGTGAGTCGGCAGCGCCAGGCAGGGGACAGGCTCGGCCCCAGCAGCCACAGCTCTCAAGCAGGAGAGCAGACAGGTTTGAGGAGCAACGGATGCATGCAGGAGACTTGTTCTTCTTTTCCAAGCCTGCTGAAACCTCAGAGTCCTGAGGCAATGGTGCAGAAACCCGTGCTCTCCAGGCAAGTGGTCCTCCTATGCAGAGCGAGGAGCCGGGCTCATGGCACCCGGCCACCTCACCTCATCCCACCACAAGCAACGCTCTGCCAGCCCACTGAGCCTCAGGTGGTCACAGCGCAAGACCTCAGCAAACCCGGGGCTGTAGGAGCCTGGAAACCAAACCATGGTTCCCACTTTCCTCCTGGCTGCCC